GCTTTGGACAGGCCAGGACAGACCAGGACAGACCAGGACAGGCCGCGCGGGCCGGATAAAGGCCCTTGGCGGGCCGCATACGGCCCACGGGCCGTAATTTGGGGACCCCTGCTATAGAGGAATCCCTTGAAGGAAGTCAAACCAAGGTTGATTGCTCTTTGAAAACAAAAGTGGCTTTAATTGTTTATAAAGACTCTATTTAATTCATTGTGTCTCAGTTTCAGTTGATAAAAATCCAAAGAAAAATATATAACAAGGAGGGGAAATGAAATGCTATTCCTTTCTTGATACTGTCTTCAAGTATAACACAATGGAGGGTCTAATAAAATGGTTCCTTCCAACAGGATATGTTTTCTATTAGGTAGAATAGATACAGCTATCAAAAATTATTTGACTAAATTTGCAGTTTTTACAATGGCAGCACCTTTTCCTCAAACCCATTGTTTCTAGACAAGCTATACATGATTTAGCTATACTAAAATCTGGCACATTATACCACATGACTGGATTAGATGACTGGATTAGATTTAAGGAAGTGTTTAATTGTTCCCATCTTAACATTTCTTGAGATCTTTAAAATCTGTTGTAATGATTTCCAATATTACTAGCAAATCCTATTTTTAAAAACCTAAAATGGGTATGATAGACATGGTATAGTAGTTTGAGTTGTGGGCAATGGCTTTGAAGCAAAAGGTTTGAATTCCTGCTAAGTTATGGAAACTCACTAGGCGACCTTGGGAAAGACACATTATTTCATCCTCGGAGGATGGCAAAGGCAAATCCCCTCTGAAAAAAATCTGCCATGAAAACTCCATGATAGTTTCAACTTAGGGACACTATAAATTGGAAAAAGCTTAAAGGTACACAAAGACAATAATAAAAATGCATTGAATAACTTGAATTGAATATGTTTAAAACAATTTTAAGCCTTAAACTTTATTAGTAAACAGTCCAAAAAGGAGGCAGTCTGCCAGTGGACACCTGCTACCTCCTCTGCTCCCCAGTAAGCCCTGGTGCTAGGCTGTGCAAAATGTGAAACCTCAGAGATCTCTCAAAGGAAAACAAGTTTACTTCTATTTCCTTTGCAGGGATGTAATCAATTTACTAGTTAGTGTAATTTGACATAATTAGTGGGTTGCTTTTCTATTCCTCCTTGTTTCTCTGCTGTTGTTCTAATGGAGTCCTGCCCACTCTTTTGTCAGTGTGTTCTTCAGATATTATTTCTTTCCATCTTGACTGTGGCTGTTCATGAACCACTCAGCATAGTTTAAAAGCAAAAAAAGGCATGTCTAGCTTTTGTTGTTTTTACACATACCAAATTGTCTTCACTCAAAATATTCACCCGAGCATTTATAGAGACCTTTCTTGTGAATGATTGTGAATTTTCTGTCTGCCCCCCCTGCTTTGTATGCATTTTGTGATGTTACATGGCGAAATCCAGCTTGTTCCGCAACACTATGATACCACTTTTGTGGTGTACAGTTGTAACTGGTAGGTTTGTACATGGATCCATTTTCAAAAACAGTCTTCTGCTGGTTTGGATGCCTGTAATGGCATGGGCTCCGCCATCATTGTTTTATTGGCAGCAACAGAACAGTGGCTGTCGAAAAACCTGCTGCTTTCAATTTCTTTCAGTTACACATGGAGTGCGGGGAAGGAGGCAGCTGCTATAAGGGAAAGGATCCCAGGAAGCAGGGTTTCTTAAGTCCTTGTCTTAAACCAGGTCCCCTCTAAAGACAGAAGGGAAATGATGGCAGGAAGTGGGATTTCTTAACCCCTTATCTCAAACCCAGGTCTTTTCTAATGACAGAAGGGAAAGGATCCCAGAAAGAGCGGTATCTTAACTCTGATGTTTTTAATTCAGGTCTTAATGAAGGATGTAAGGACAAACAATCCCAGAAAGAGTGGTATCTTAACTCTGGTGCTTTTAATCCAGTTCTTAATGAAGGATATACAATGCCTAAAATAATGGGAAGGGAGCCTGGGAAGTCCCATCCCCCATTGCCACCAATGGACTGGATTGAAAATAATCTTTCAGCTTCCTGGATCGAAAATGGATTTCTGTCCTTCTGCATTTGGGAGGTTCCCGAAAAATGGACGGGCCCTCCACCAAAATCTAGGAAACTGAAACAGATCGCGGTTTACCCAAATTGCACAACTCTAGTAATTGCCTCAGATCATGTGAGTGCTTCAGCAAGATTTGCCCTACTCTCAACATCTTCAGTGGCAATATCACATAGCCACACCTGAGTCATACTCTGTTAACATATTTCCTATCTGACTGATAGTGGAATAAGAAAAGGAAGCAATATATTGGGAGGAAAGAAAAGAGTATTTTGACATTTAAACAAGAACCTATAAACCAAGAAACAAAAATTTCACATAGTGCATTTATCCTTTAGGACACCTATGTCAAATGCAAAGCCAGCAGGCCAAATCCGGCCCTCCATGTCATTTTGTGTAGCCCTCCTCCAGATGCTGAGCTACAGCTTCTGTAGTCCTCATCACTAGAGCTGATGGGAGTTGTGATACAGGAACCTCTGGAAGGCTGCAGTTTGTGCTGTTTAGTCAGGTGATTGGGGTTTGGATTTAGGTACAAGACTTATGGAATGTCCTTTCGCCAACCTCAAAACCACAAGGGCTATGGGATGCAGTTCCCATTATCCCCAGTTCACCAAAAGTAATGGTAGTTGTCGTTTGACAACATCTGGAGACTTAAACTGAGTAAAAACCAAGGATCACCAACCATTACGTGCAAGTCCTCTGTCTTCATGGATTCAATGGCCTTTTGAAGGCAACCCTAAGGCTGAGGTGGCCCTCCATGCAAATGAGCTTAACAGCCCTGCTTTAAGACAACTACAAGAGAAAGAATGTATTCCATTGGGTTAACAATAGTCTGTATATTATCTAGTTTTAATTTCAACTCTAATATCAATTAAAAGTTACATGGTTCTTATGTTGATGAAGATTTGCATAAGAAGTACTATTTTTATTTTGTTTAAAGAAGATTTTAATTTATATTTCATAAAAGCTCACCTCCTCATAAACCCTCTTAGCGTTGTTGTTGTCTCCAATCAAAAGATAACCAACCCCAAGGTTATTCTTGAATGAAGTGTCATTAGGAAATAGATTAACTAGTTTTTGTAATGTAACGAGTGAACCTCTCATGCGACCTGCATTGATTGGACAAAATCAACAGCAACATGGAATTCAACATGTTTACCAGTAAAATTAGCGTACATTATGAAAGCATTAATAAACACTGAAATGGCAGGATGTGAATGTATGCAAAATCATGGGAATATTTTGTTCACTGTTTGATATTGAAAGAAAGCTCAGAAAAAGTATGTTAACAGAATGTATCATCTAATCTTATGGAGACCTCTTGTGGGCAATCACAGCATTTTCTTACCACTGTTCCTCAGTAGATGAGATATGGCAATGAATAGTTATGCCCAGCATTCGTTCTTATTTCTTTATAGCATATATTTTAAGATGGTGTTCTTTCAAAAGACAATTACTTGCATGAATAGGTGAAATTAATCCATATAGAAAAAAGGATCATCCTTGAAAGCTCACAGGAAAATGGCTGCTCACAATATTCACTGAGAATAATTCCATCTCTTTCTCTTAGTGAGTGAGCAACAATTTTCCTAGTGCGCTGAGAAAGAATCACAATTTTGTCTATTTTGATTCAAATTAACCTTTTGGCAACTGGAAAAGGTTAACACATTGAAACACATTTTAGTGATTATATATACACCAAATAATTTAACATATAATCAAAGAAACACATTATATATTGTGTTTCTTTGATTATATGTTAAATTATTTGGTGTAACAACAATATCTGAACTGTATGAAAAAGTTTGAACCTCGTAGGACACTGTACTGAGTATCTATGGTTAATCAACTTGCAATAGGTAAGTGCATTTGTCTGAATTTTGGTATTCACATGCAGCCTGTTTAGCAGAATAATGAGTAACATGAATTATTGTTGCAGCACATACTAAAAGCATCTATGAAAATGACAAGACTGTAGTGGCCACTGGAATGAAATCAGACAGACTTCCTGACCTATAGATTTGATCTAAAGGAATTCAGAGTTATCCCTTTGGGTTTAGGACAATCAGATTATGACTCTTCAGCATCAACAATATCAGTAATATAGTAGAAATAAAGTATAATGGTATGAAATCAACTAAACTTGTAGAGAAAATCAATACAGTGTCAAATAGAGGATGTCTACTCAGAAGTACATTGCACAGTAAAATTAAGTGTCATATAACATTGTAGGCAAAGTTTAAATAGTTATCTTACATATCTGTGACAATGTGAGCTGAATACATTTAGTTTGTAAAATACTATTGTGTTTTCTCAAAGACATTGCTGAATTCTTCCCAATGTTTCTTAATCTGTTAACAACACAATTGGATAAGGCACTACACACAAATATGGGTCTGTAGACTTCTACCGATATATTCCAATATAGATTCCTGTGGAGAAACATTATCTCTTGTGTTTCAAAATGCCCCAATTTCTCAGCTGCTGTGTTTCCTAAGCTTCTGGGGGCTGACATGCATGCTTCCCTTTGCTTAATGTTATTTACTACACTAAATCATTGTAGCACATTTATTTCTAAATGTACATATGTGTCTTGGGTCTGTGATATGATATATATTTGCAAAGGGCAAACTGTAATATACACTGTGATATGTTACTACTGATTGCTGTATATTAACCATCTCATCCTAAAAAAAGAAGCCTAAATTCAAATAGGAAACATTATAAGTATTAATTTAATATTTAGACATACACAACTCAGAAAACATTCAAGCTACTCAGAGAATATTTGGAGAATATTCTACTTGTATATTAAAATTTGCAAAGCTGCAGCAGGACTTTTTAAAAAAGAAATAGTTTTCAAATGTGCACAACTGCTCCCCATTAGTGTGTGTAGGTGTAGGAATGTATTTATCCACAGTTAAATACAGATTTAAACTTACCAAGAAACTGCTGCCTGTCTGCCCGTCGTTTCAGGGCTAGCTTGACCAGATCATCAGGGACATTAGATAGACTAGCTACCTCCCCATAAGTATTGATAGATCGCTGTAAAATTTCATTGCTTCTCATTTTCTCAGCCAAATCATCCTCACTCTGCATGAGATCAAAAAGCATTAATTGGTACTCAAATCACCAGCAATACCCAACTTTTTGTTTGTCCTCAAGCAAGAATGGCTACGTTTAGCCTTCCACTCCCAGGATCTGTTGCCAGCATTGCCAGTGGTAAGGGATCAAGGGAATATTAGTTAAAGAGCATCAGGAATTCTACACTTTCTCTGTTACCGTTCAACATAGTTGTAATTGACTGTTTGAGTTGATTTTAATATTTTAATATTACTATTTTACTGGTTTTAATATTAGAAATATTTGGAAAAATAAATTTTAGTCCTAGTGAAAATGGGTTGGTGTGAGGTGAAGGGAGCAATATTAACTAGAAAAAAAATAAAACAATTGATTAGGAAGTGAAATGACGACAACTTTAGTTTCATTATGGTTGTATAGGTTAGCCTAGCATGAAGCACAGAGCCAAAGATCAAACCTGAAGATCAAATAACTCAGACCTTTTGACCCAGACCAGCATGCAGACCTATAGCAGCCAAGGGGGATCGCAGCTGAAGAAGTCCTTTGGGCTTGCTGATACTGTGTGGATCCCTTCCACATGAGAAGAATCAAGTTTTGATAGTTTTATGTGTTGTTGAAGGTTTTCATGGCCAGAATCACTGGGTTGCTGTAAGTTTTTCGGGTTGTATGGCCATGTTCTAGAAGCGTTCTTTCCTGACGTTTCCAGATCTCACAACCTCTGAGGATGGCTGCCATAGATGCAGGTGAAACATCTGGAGAGAATGCTTCTGGAACATGGCCATAGAGCCCAAAAAACTTACAGCAACCCTTTGATAGTTTTGATCTGGAGATTACTCTGTATGCCTCTATCCCCATGAATGTCCAAGAAGGAACTGTCCATGTAGAATGTGAATAGCACAATGGTTATCTTTTCCCAAAAGGCAACTCATGAGGGTACGCTTTGCTGAGCAGAGTTCACCTACATTTATCTTTCCAGGCGGAGCTGGCTGAATTCTGTATATTGAAAGCCTGATGCCTATGGTGTACCTGCAGATTGACTGCTTCTTCCCAGTCCTCTGAAACTGCACACTTTGTCAGTGAGGTGTAGTGGTTTGCATGTTGGACTAGGAATCCAAAAGGCCAACTTACAAATTCCCACTTAGCAATGGATTGGGTAGCCTTGGGTAAGTCACACTCTCCAGTCTTAGGGCATAACCACACAGCTCGCAAAAAGCACGCTTGTGACAAGTTGTGATGTATTTCTAGAGTGTAACTTTAGGCGGTTCCTGTGTAAGCCGGATGCTGAAGAACTGATAAGACTAGAAAGTGCTTCTTGCAGTATGTGCAGATGTGAATGGATGTGATTCATGATCCTCTTATGTATACAGTGTATATTTGGAATAAAGTTAAGAGCTGCTTCGTTTTCAAAGCTAAACTAAGGAGTCCAGTGTCGCTCATGCTTTTCAGGCAGATGCTTGAAAAGTCAAAGCAGATTGAGATAAGAGAGGTAATTTATCTCAATTCAACCAACAAGAAATGCCTTAAAAATTAAAAATTACTTACCTGGCCACCATTACCCTACTGCCGCTCCTCTTCTGGTGCTTAGAAATGATGCACCAAGAGAAGAGGTGCAGAAGCAATTTTCCTCCTGACTCTCCCTTTTCCTGGCGTGTTGTTTCTATGCACCAGGAGAGAGTAACACAAAGGTAATGGCGGTCAAGTAAGTATTTTTTAGGTTTTAAGGCTTTTCTGGGGGTTTTTTTTGTTGCTGTCTGGGTGCCCTGTTGGAAGGTCCAGCAGGGCATCTGGACATCCCACCCCCAGGAAAGAACGGTGTTTTCTGCCAGTGTGGGGACAAAAGTTTGGCCGGACCAAACCCGAGTTGGACTGGACTTTTCCCCTGTGTGGACACAGCTTTGGAGGAAATTAATGGAAACCTTCTCTTAACAAATCTTGCAAAAAAGTGCCAGGGTAGTTTCACCTTAGGGTTGCCATAAGTCAGAAATGACTTGTAGGCAAACAATAACAGCAGCAGCAGCAGCAGCAACAACAGTAAGCTTATTGAGTTAAAGCATCTCCAAGATGGTTCAGAGATCAAAATGTTGAAACCACAATACATAAAATATAGCTAACCTTTAAAGTATTTTTAAATGATCATAACTATTAAAAATGCATATTTAAATAGGATGCCTACACTGAAATAAAGCAACCTAGAGCATCAAGGTTCTCAAGTACTATTTTAAAATAGCTGGGGAGGGAGCAATATGCATATTCTATAAAGATGGGGGTCATTACAGAAAATCCCCAAACTCTTGTGCCTCTTTATCATGGTTTAAAGTCCAGGGAGAACACATGCTTCATTTCTCATCACCCCGAACCCCACAGACTACACACCTGGTTTCTGATATTTAAAGTGATTGGAGGGATGAAACAGTATTTAAGGGGTACATATTGCATTATCCAATAATTGTGGTCCTGGAGACTTCCTGAGGTTTGACTCTTTTTATAAGATGTTTTACGGAACTGGGAGGGGAGCTCTTTGGCCATACAGAAGTTACTGTGGGTTATAGAATTGTGACTCTGGTAAAAAAAAACTTGAACAGTAGGCAACGGAGGTTAGTGGCCAATAACAGCAGGATGGTGAATCATTCTGGATTTTAGTTCAGATGTTAAAGGAGTTATACAAACTAATGTATGTTTAACATTTTCCCCTTGGCTAGCATCTTTAAATTATGGATGAAAACCTGGGGCAGATTCATTACTCTCCTGATATGGAAACCACCAGCCACAATTCTCAGGAAACACATAAATGAGGCTTCTGTAACAAGCTATAGGGCCTGGAAAAGCAGAAGGAAGCAATGTAGTCAGTGATACATGTTATCATTGCTTAGCCTTATGTGGAGCTATAGATCCTATCAGACAATTCTGGACTATTTATTGAACCGATTGTGGTTTCTGTAACTCAAGGGGAAATGTCTCACCACATTTTTTTTAAAAAAAACTCATTTTATCCACCCCTGATCTGACCAGTTTTACCAGATAACCTGGGACATTAGCATCAGGAATTAAGCACTCAATAGACCTAAGGATGCTTATTTGAAGCAAGAGTTAAGCATGCAGTAGAAGGACTTTTTTTGCCTCTGCATTTTTACACACATAAAACCACTTGGTGCTTTTGCCATCAGAGACTATTCCTAACACACAAATGCTTTATTTATTTGTTTCCTGGAATAAATCTTGTCCCTTTCGTGCTTATATCTGTAACTTTTTACCTGTGCTTTTCCATATCTTGCTCGTGGACTTTGGGGATACTTGCTTACTAATGTTTCAAATACCTTCAAAGCTTCTTCCACTTTCCCCTGAAATTATTTGAAGTAATTTTTAGTATAAAAGAGCAGCAAAATCATCTTCAACATTTTGTTAATCATCTTCAGTTTCAATTTTGTTTTTAAAATAAACAAGAAATAATGTAATTTCTGTGGTAATAGAACTATTTTTTTAGTTCATGATTGTATTTGGGTGTACCTTCTTTCACAGATGTCATAGCTATCAGTCCTATAATAAACTGCATGGTCCAGAGATGATTAAGTATCCCATGCTAAAGCCACAGTGAATGAAAGTAAGTGTAGGAACCAGCTGTTAGTGACTAGACACTGACAATTATGTAACACTGGGTATGTTCACATTGGCTAATGGTCAACTGATGACATGCTGATGAATAGTGAAGGATATTTTTAAAAGATGACTCTCTTATATCAAGTTGCAAATTTGCTTGTAATTTTTTTTTGCCAGTGCTCACCCCCTGGCTTTTTCACAAAGCTCTACATTTCTGTGTGAAATAGTATCACGGAATTTAGTAATACCACAGTTGGAAGTACCATGGTACTCTATTTATTTCCTTGAGGCAATGTACCCAAGATGAAAAAACATTTGTGCAAAGCACTTAAGTGATAGTTTTGCATACCATTATAACTATTTCTAAGCTAAGATACTATTGAGATTATTTGTTAGGAAGCAGTATGCAAATATGGGAAACAATACAATATTACAGAGATTCCATGACTAAATCCAACACACAGTGAAATGCACAAATGCATTAACTGCAGCTAGCTTGCAATTGAGCCCTATTGATTTCACTGTGTATTGGATTTAACACTCCAGGTAACAACACTGGATTTAGCCCAGTGAAAGTTCTTGATCCTTCTGCTGTCTCTAGAGATTGTATAACGGAGTTCACTTGAGTTCAAAATTTACCTTTTTACGTAGCCTCTCTGCACCATCAAGCTCAGCCTTAATGCCTTTATCAAATTTATTCAACAATTTAGGTTTCTTCTTCTTAGCTAGAAAAATTAAAATGAAATACTAGATTTACCCGAAGAAAACTTTAATATGTTTAGGAGTTTCTACAAAAGAAATATGGGGATGTATTTATAAAAACAAATAAGTTTTCATATTTTGGGGAAAAGATATATTTTTATTGTTTCTTTTAATAGGTTTGTTTCCCAATAAATGGAAGTAGATTCCTTTTCCCAGATTGGTTCAATCCTACTATGTAGTCACTGTTTCAAAAACCATGGAGATAAAAATATAATAATAGAAATAATAACTAAAACTTCAATCAAAAATTGGAGTTTTGTGCTTCTGGTCAATGGTATGGCCAGCTGATGCTCCTCCATGGGGTTTTGTGTGAGGAGAAGCTTTCACAGAGGCTATCACTGAGATGGGGGAATTTCTATCTGATGAATTTATCTCAGGATAAATGGCAGAACAAGAGACAACTTACAAGAGCCTAGAAATCTGCTGCTTTCTCTGTGCTTCCTTTCTCTATCACCAAAGTTACCAAACTAATCTGTGGCAAGGGGGGCGTCACCAATAGATCCAATCAGGATGCTGGAAGTGCTGGTCTCAGTTGGAAATGCACCCTGAGATGTTGGACTAATTGAGGCGAAGAGATGAAATTTTAAGGGGTATCAGATCTTTTTTCGCAGGGAGGTGTGTGTCAATCTTGGGCTCCAGGTTACATTTAAATTTAACATTTGATTGGCTGTTAGATTTACCACCTCCCTCCCATGAGAGTGAGAGGAAGTGGTAAAGAAAATCCTTAGTTCTGTAATACTTCTAAAATGCACTGCCTTTACCAAATATTATTTTTCTTCGATTGTTTTGAAAATTCCTCACTACTTCAAGGGCAGTACTTTTGTAATTGCTCAAAAGAACTCTCTCGGTGGTGCCCCCCCCCCTCTGGAACTCCCTCCCCAGGGAAATTGGGCAGGCACCCTCCCTAGCCACCATTCCGTAAGGAATGAAAGACGTGGATGTTTCGTTGTGCCTTCAACTGATGACCCCTATGACAAACGATTGTACCATGATCTGTTTTCACCATTTAACCTGAATTCCTATATTACATTATTATTCATATATGTAAGTTAAACTGAGATGATCCTGATCCTGTTTAATTGCTCTGTTTTCATGATATCACCTGTGCCATTTATGTTCCTATCCACCTTATTGAACTATTTACCCTTTAATGAATTCGTATGTTGGCCTTTTCCCCCCATCCAAAATTGGTTTGCTGTTGCTTGATATTGTTTATTACTATTATTCTGTTTGTGCTATTTTAATTTGTAATTTGCTGTTGTCTTTGCTTTTAATCTTATGTTGCTTGGGCTTGGCCCCATGTAAGCTGCCCCGAGTCCCCTTGGGGAGATGAAGGTGGGGTAGAAAAATAAAGTTCTTCTTCTTCTCTCATTTGACAAGGAAAAAAATAAAAGGGAATGATTATTTGATGAATTAACACAATCATTAATGTAACAAGGATTAAACTCATTGTTAAATGAAACTAATAGCATAAGAAAGGGTTAGCATGCCTGTGGTGTTTGTTTTGCTGTCTGTGCCCCTGTTCAGAAGATTTCACCTCACTTTCTGTCCCTGTGATAATTGGATTTTGAAAAATTTGGCTTGCTGTGGAAACAAGGATTAGTGACAAAGCTTCAGTGGAAACACCTTTTCCTAATGATTACTTTCAGGAGTGAATTTCCCATCTGAGAAGCAGATTTCTCTCACATCCTGCTATCTCATCCTGTTCTTAACTATGAGTTATCTGTAAGTCGGATGTTTGTAATTAAGAAATTGTCTGTATTTGATTTTATCTGTACATTTATCTTAAGAAAATGAATAGACGTATCTAAATTACTAGTGACCATATCACATATCAGCTGATCAGACCAATGAAAGAAATTATGTTCTAGAATTTTACCTTCAAATTATGTTATGTTCTATATAGTTGAAACCATTGGCTAACTGGCATGCAATATGGGTTATCAATGGCAAATTTATCATGCTGGGGTTCATGAAGATTTCCCATTTATAAGGTTTCCGGCCTGACTAAATAACAACTTATGCAAATATCCTTATTTGCATAAGATGTTATTTGTTTTCCTGGGGAGATTACATGGAAATACAAGTATGTTGAAAGTTATGCTAGATCTCCAGTGTCATACCTAGTTTGGCCCCCAAAAATATAAGTTTTGAAATTCATGTCCAGAATTTGGGTAGTAGAACTGTGTACTTTACTTGCCCAGATCTTTCTCAGATGCCAGTGCAAAGCCAGTAGATGCTTGAATGTCATGTTTTCAATATAACCTACCTTTCTCTTTCTGTTGTGTTTCTCTCTCTTGTCCTGTAATACGTGAAAAAAGGTTTTCATTGACCACCATATCTTTTATTAAACAAAAGCATTAATACAGAAAAGTTTAAAAACTCATCTCTCTTTGTGCTTCATCCCAGCACTTTGGGCGGATGGAACCTCAATGCCTATGTATAACATTAATTAGTTATGACTTTTTGAGAAAAATACATTCCGCCAAATGTAAAAACAGAAAATCATCCTGATTACCTTTTGGTTCACTTCATGAGTCTGATAAAATAATTCTTGCATGTACACATTCATGCCAATGGAAATAACTTGGTTTCTATGGTGCCACAATTTTCAATTCTTGTTATAATAATTTAAAACTAGTTTTGGGAATAGGCAAGTTGTTACTGTGTGCAAACATTTCAGACAACAGTTGTTTTTAATGCAATTAATTATCCAGCATGTGTTTCCTTATTTGATACACCAAAACTCAATGAGGTCTCATATGCCACCAATTCCCTTCCCATTGGTATTGGTGCTCCTTAAGTGTATATGGGAGTATGTGCATTCCTAGTTTTTCCCAAAATCAGGTGCAGTCAACAATTTTCGTATGGAAACTGTAGAGGTAGCTGCCATAATTCATAACTGGAAACAATGGGAGCTACTCTCTGCAGGCAAAAAGTAGCTTTGAAGAAGTGTTTGTTTTTTTTTGTTGGGACTCTGTTGGGCAGGGAAAGGGGATTAGACAAGACATTCCTTCACACTTCACTTGTACTATTGCAGCTGCAATTTGGAATTTTTTAAAAAAGATATGCAGTTGGCCTTCTGTATCCATGGACTCCATATCTGCAGATTCACCAATTGCAAATTGAAAATGATTTAAAGAAACACTCAAATATTTTGAAAAATTAAATCCAATATTCTAAAAAATATATTCTTAAAACAGTGGGGTGATAAATTTCATCTCAACCCCACCCTGCCCGGTGGCCCTGCAAGAGGACTGTTGTGAAAACCGTTCAGAAGTGCTCTCCCACTGAGGATGAAGAAGCCACGGAGGGCAGGGGATGGAAGAAAAGAGAGAACTGGTTGCTGTCAGGGTGGGTCAGGTGGGGAGAGAATGAAAAATATTAGCATCTTCAAAAGAGTTAGCAATCAGGCACCTCCTGAAATTTTTTTTACTGAGACCAAAATATTAAAACAAGTAATAGACTTGCTTCCAACAACCCCTTCCTGGGCAAGGTGTTCAAGCAACTGGACAACTAAAGGCTCTCCTGGATGAAATTAATCTATTTGGGTTTGAAGTAGAGTCTACTTTGGCCACATTAGGGAGTGACCTCTCTTGTAAGAGTTTGGGGGAAACAACCTTGTTCATTTCCTTGAATCTAAGTCTTTCTGTATCTGATGTGGAATATTGTACTAGCATGACTCTGCCACTGTTTAATTTAAGTTTAATTTAAGCTAATTAAAAAAATTAACTGGAGAGCTACTGCTTGGATTTATGATATGACTTTATAGTTCTATTATTCATGCTTTCAAGGTGATGTTCTAGGATCATTAGACTACTTAGCCTATGCAGTTATGCTATGTGGTACTTCATGGTTTTGTTCTATCTCCCATGCTTTTTAACCTCTACATTAAATGACTGGGTCAGATTGTCCATGAACATGGGAAGAGGTGTCAACAGTATATATGGCACTCAATGATAGATTTTTCTTTCATCTAATACATGAGACACATGATGCTCTGAATAGCTGCTTAGTAAGGATAGAAGATCGGATGAGGCCCAATAAACTGGGACCAAGAAAGACAAGATGTAGATACTCTGTGAATGGTTTTTGATAGAGCTGCATTTCCCCTTAATGTTCAGGGTCATAGTCAATACATGCTCCAACACTGTCATTGGATGGAGTTGATACACTAACTATAAGTTTACATAGAATGAAGTAATTTTGCTACTGGTTCTACATTTTCCCACTTGAATTACTGCAGTGTCTGGAAACTTCAATTTATCCAAAATGAGACAACCATTTAAACTCAGTCTAGCTGATTCAATCATAGTACGCTGTTTTATTCCCAATCTGCATTGGCTGTCAGTTTGTTTCCAAGCCCAGTTCAAAGTACTGGTCTTAACTCTTCAAGATTGGTTCATGAATAGATATGTGAAGAGTATTCATTCTTTACATGTCTGCTAAGGAGAAGGAACATAGATAGTTTGAATTATCCAAGTTTTACATATTATTTTTAGACACAATGGTTCTATAGGCCATTGAGTTTAAGACCCAAAACCATTTACACAGTTAGCAATTGAATGACTGTTTGCTTTTTTAGGAAATGTAAATAGCAGATACCCCAAGTTGTATCAGGAAAAAAATATTTGTTCAAAATACAGAAGTTTATTTCTGCACATACCGTGTATTTTTGTGTAGAAAAGTTGTTTTCTGTGATAAAAGCAGTAATTTTGCAGAGGAAACTGTATTTTGTGTAAAAATGTGGAAACAAATTTTCTGCCTAAAACGTGTTTCCTGTACAGAGAAAATATAGACATTTCCTATGTAAGCAATTTTCCCAAAAGAAACCATGATTTGGGAATAGCTGTGCAGATTTCCTCGTATTGTCATCCAGTTAAGAGAAAATAACTGAAATGGCTTTCTTGGTTTTGGAATGAGTGAAGATTTATGTCCCCTACATTATCTCCTCAAGGTCATATTTTAAAACCAATCCATTCCATATTTTACAGTAAATAGAAGCCCCTAAAATGCATACACATACAAACATGAAACTATTTTGAGCCAGACGTAGGTTAGATAATAAAGTCAACTAGTTCTTCAAATGGGAGATGATAAAGGAAACAGAATAATGGTTGACAATAATGATTCCACCAGTGACAAAGTTTCTTCTGTACTTTATTGCTGCAAACATTAACACAGAAGAAAAAATACATCTCTTAAAAATCCCCTTCACCTTGCCTCTCATGGCACAGTCATGTAAACATATCATATAATTATCAGATTTTTTTTAAAAAATGATCACAGCATAATAATCCTCTTGTTCCAGCATTCTAAAAATATATTGTCACCATTATACAAAATTAATTTTAATTTGCCAAACACAATCATATTTAATCCCATTTCTTTAAAATATATGGCTTTATAAAAAGATATTGCTTTGTCACTTAGCAATAGGTAATATTTTTCTCCATGAAGAATAATGCTGTCTCAGCCAACATGGACACACGGTTTCCTGACATGTATAAATTCATATGGCATGATTCTTCCTGCATTCCTATTTTCCTTTACTATTTCAGCACTGAGTCAGCACATACACACTGAAGGGGGAAAGGGAAAACAAGGGCTTTGTTATGACATGGGCACTCCCTTCCTCTATTCTCAGGTAAGGTGACCATGTGGGAAAGGACCATGTTTGTGGCAATGTAGGGCACATTCTTTCTGCACATTCTCACTGTACAGATGTCTTAATACCTTGGACCCTAATATTAAAACATGCACATACTGCATTTCTCAAAACTATTCCTATTTTTTTTAAGTCAGCTAAATCCAAGCACTGGCTAAATTCTCAAGTCACACACTCTACTACAATTTTAGTGAATTTCCATTGACTTCAATGGTACTAAAGTGTATCTCGTTTAAACTGAGATTGTCAAATAGTTTTTCTAAGCAACAGCATCATTATGCAAACTATTCCTGAGCCATAAAAAGATAAAATAACTAAACTAATGTGGCTTTAAGATTACGGATCAGCACCACTCAACAGTTATCTAACATATCACCTCTGTTAAAGTTTCCTTCCACTCATGCATAAAAAGGAATTCATTAATAAATACTGATTTATAACAAGCCATTTTTGGTAAAGCATATAAATTAAGATCAATCAGTCAAATTTCGGAACCCTGAAATAATTGCCTCTGATGTAATCCTAATTCATTTAAAAAAGTGTATTACTGAACAGCTGGTTGCAGTAATGTAGCTTATGTATTTATGTGCTACAATACTTTATCCAGTAACATCCTACTGAAATTGCAGTTCAGACATCATCAAACCAAAGGAAAAAACAAAAAACAAAAATGTCATAAAGAACATACAGATATCAGAAGGATGTTTCCACTCTAAAACATCCAAATTGTTATGGAATTATTCAGTGTTTTTACTTCAGTTTAGTACCAAATGCTCCTCATGAAGGAACAATCACAACCAAAAATTGAAAGCAACTCTCTCCCTGCAAAAAAAAAAAAAAAAGAAAAGAAAAAGAAAAGAAAAAGAAAAAAATAACAACCTTGTTTGTGTGTGTCTAGGATCAGGATACTTGCTTTACCTTTTATCCAAAGTTCAAAATAATTATATTCAAAACCAATATATATTGGTCCAAACCTAAATTTCACAGCTATTTTACTAGTGTTTGCCATAATAAATTTAAATACATCAAATTATTACTCTTATCACATTTGAAAATCTTGCTAACGCTTAATATTTCCCAGTTTTACTATGTCAACAGATATATATTAAATTCTCAAATCATTTACTGCTACATTATAAATAGCATGTTAACAACTGTGTGAACAGCACATATAAAATTCAGAAACCGCTAACTACTTGGTCAGTTATAAGGGGAAAATAAAGTTTTGCCATATACTAAATGCTACAAAAGATAGAAAGATATTATATCTAAATATATGCTAAAGGTATACTAAAATGTCAACTGAGCACTTTTTCTAAGTTTCAGGCAGTTTCACAAGTGACTTTAAAAAATCCTGTATCTATAAAATGAATGAAAAATCTATGCTTTTTTTTTTAAAAAAAAAGCCTTCTACTGTTTTCTGCACCGTATTGATAAAATTTATAAGCCACACATCCTAGATGAAAGTCTTATGTCACCACTTGTGAAATGCCTTTTAGTGTTTTTCCTCCCTACATTTATGAATTGCTGGGTTGGTTATGTCAGAAAGAGTCTAGAACAAAGATCTGCTCCCACTGGGTAGAGTATGGTTTAGGCTGGTCCTCCTGATGTTGGGACATTCTTTTTGAAGCTTTAAGTATCTGAAAAAATAAGGGGAGATCTAAATTAGAGGACCAACCAGGATACAAAATATTTTAAAAATAATATGCAACTTTGGAACATTGTGTTTTATTTAGATCTATCTATCTATCTATCTATCTATCTATCTATCTATCTATCTATCTATCTATCTATCTATCTATCTATCTATCTTTTTGAACAACTAAGCAGTTAAACACAAAGTTGCTATCTATGGAAAAAGAGAGGCAAGAAGAGACTTAGAAAATGGGCCTTTGGAGTTGAAACTGAGCAATGAAACTAAAATGTTTTCCTTCCAAGTCACTCTATTCAACGTCATCTCTCTGTCACCCACCCCCATCCAAACATACACACTAAAAATGGCCAGGAATCGTGTGGCCCTCCAGCTGTTGAACTGTAGCTCCAACTTGAAGAGCTAATGGTGAGGAATGCTGAGAGCGGCAGTTCAACAGCTCCCTGGAGTTTGGAATGATTCCTAATCTGTACTAGAAAAATATCTTTCATTGTAACAAACAGTATGCATAATGAAGGCGAAATATATATTGCTGTCAACAAAGGCAGACTTAAGGAAGGAGAGAACAGATTTTGCATATTTTTTACAGATGAAAAATTTTCCTCACATTAGGCAGTGGTTCTCAACCTGTGGGTCCCCGGTTGTTTTGACCTTCAACCTCCAGAAATCTTAACAGCTGGTAAGCTGGCTAAGATTTCTGGAAGTTGTAGGTCAAAACATCTAGGGACTCGTAAGTTGAGAACCACTGCATTCAGCTTGCAATAAGAAAGGCCTCTGTCAACTCTGCCAACAGCAAAAAATAAAAATAAAAAAATTCCACAGACTCCAAGCAGAGCATGGTGGGAGAAGCCTGATTAGGCCATGCCACCAGAAGGGCATAGGCAGCATATGGAAACCACGACCCAATCAAGGGGCAAAGAAAAATGTGTCTTATCACCCTGTGACCTTCAGGAAGTAAAACTAGAAGAAAAGGAAGAAGTTTTGCACAACTGTGCAACCAAAGAGCTGGAACGATGAACTATGCTATAAGTAGCCGAGGTTCTCTGTCTTTTCTGGCAGTGCTCAGAGGAATGTATTGTCAAAGGCTTTCATGGCCGGAATCACTGGGTTGTTGTAGGTTTTTTCGGGCTATATGGCAATGTTCTTAGAGCCATTCTCTCCTGATGTTTCACCTGCATTTATGGCAAGTATCCTCAGACCTCACAACCCCTGAGGATGCTTGCCATAGATGCAGGTGAAACATCAGGAGAGAATGCCCCTAGAACATGGCCATATAGCCTGAAAAAACCTACAACAACCCAGTGCTCAGAAGGCTTTTCATCTTATCTGGACATGCCATTTCAAAACATAAGGGCCCTGCAGCATTAAATCAAAGACCCTGCATTGTTTTCCCACAGTACCTAAACAATACTAGCAACCAAGGTACCAAAGGAAATCCTTCAAGCAAGACACAAGCAGCAATCCCTAGTATTTTTCCAGTTCCCGTGATCTGTATATTCAAGCAGCATATAAGTCCTGACTCTTTATCCAGTTTCTAAGTGAGATTTTTTTTCTCCCTTAAACATAATTTAGCACACTGCTGCACCACTAAATAACATAAATACCTTATTTGCTTCCTGAGCAATACCTTGCATTACACATCATTTGAAACAATAACAGAAAACGTTACAGACCAAGCATTTCACATTTATTACAAAGCCATTGTGGCCAAAAAAAAAAAAAATGTGGATGGAAGTCATTTTACAGTATTTTACAAACCAATATGCACACTGATAACAACTGAAGAAAGTACATTTTCAAATGCAAAATTAAGAATTATATGTACTTTCAATGCCTAGCAAATTGCTGTATCTGGACTTGGGGATCATATAAGTCTCCAGGTATTGTTGGACAGCAATTGCTAACAGCCATAGATATAGGCAGCCTAAATAATGGTAAGGAGTGCTGTAGTTCAACAACATATGGACAGGCCCTTGCTATGTTAGTAGTTGCTATTATAAAAAGAAAAATACATATGAACCTCAATGTGATAATTCAGAGCTAGTTTATTCTTATACTGATCAGATGCTTATCTACCTCTTGTTCTTCTTGAGAAGAACAGCCTTATTGTGTGATCAGGAGATAAGGTATGGTTCCATTATCTAGGCGGAGGCTAAAAGGGAGCCTGGAGAGAGAAGAATAGTCCATTTTATGGGGGGGGGGGGAGTTGAAGGAATTAAACAATTTCCCGCTGTTTTCCTATTATTCCTCCCACCCACCCGTACTCAAAACAAATGTTGTTTAGGACATGGGAAAGAGGGGGGGGGATAACCGGGGAAAATTGGAGAAATGGTTTTCATCCTTCAACTCCCCCCTGCCCCACCAGCAAAATGGACTATTCTTCTCTGTCTAAGCCCCCTTTTGGAGTCCACCCAGATAATGGAACAGTACCGGAGATAATATGGTGAAGTTTTTTGATGTGGTAGACTGAAAATAGCTCATGTTGTCTCATTTCAGAGATTAAAAATAATCCTCCTTATGATTGGTGTTTTAACCTGTTTATTGATTCAGAAAAGCTACATAATATGAAAGAGAACTTGACATACGATCCACATCTTATTTAATTTACTCCTGCAGTCAAAGAGTCAGTTGACTTCTTAACATGAATACAGAAAAACTAACAAATATTAGAGAAATGTTCAATCCTATTTAAAGACTAAAGAGCATGTAAGTCCCATAATGAATCTGCATTTCACTGCCACATCCTTCTCCTTTAATCACAGAGGAACAGCAAAGTCAGTAGATTAAATTAAAATAATACCAAATGCTTTCAGGTACAGGTACAGAAACATTATTCCCTTGGATAATACAGAGCTATTAGGATTATAGAAAATCACTCACAACCATTGAGAAAGACTGCCATTCCATGTCTATATGTTGCAAGATCATAGTAACTTATGATATTTCCTTGAACTGATAGGATTTGAAGTCTAACAATATCTGGAAGATCATTCCAGGTATAGACAATATTGGACAAGATGGTTTAACTTGGTATAAGACAAGCCTGATTCAAAACTTGTTTCCACAGACTTAAGACAGTATGTTTATCTGTTTTTTAAGTTTTCTTCTCAAGCCTCACATTTCTACTTATCAGCTCTTTCTCTTCTAAGGAGAAGCATGCCTCCTAGTGGCTTGCTAAATATCTATACATTTATTGTAGCTATTTCAATGTACACTGCCTAAATAATTTTTTAACCACACATGGTATAGAAGTATTAAAAAGGATATTGTTTTTGCAAAAATAATGTGCGTGCTAGCCTCTAAGTTGGAAAAAGCAGAGAACTCAAGTATAAGATAAGCTTACATTAAACAGAGGAAGCAGAAATGTTGTAGAGCACGCTTCTTGGATACTTTGAAATGGAAAAAAATATCAGGGACTCGCAGGAGGGAGTCATGCTGGCTTGGGAGAGGGGGAGAGGTCTAGGAGTTGTGGCCCACAAAATTTATTATTCACTTTATACTAACTATTCTACAAGCATAATGCTTGTCATTTAAGTGAGCTATAAGCAATCACTCCTAATTTACCATATAGTCACAAGGTGCATTGCAACACACTACTCATTATTATCGTTTACCTATGCATTGACTACTTTTTCGTTACTGCTGCTGCTCGTTAGTAAATACAGTTTGTTTGATGCACAGCTTCTTAGGTCTGTAACTATTCAGCGTGCAGATGGGCTTTAACAGTTGTTGCAGCAATGTGTATCTCACAAGGCAGGAAATAATGTATTTTTATTTAATCTTGTAAATTACATCCCCCTTTTTCATTTTCATGTAACTTCTCAAGATGAAATCATTAAAACAAAAATCTTTCCTGAATCATTTAAAGTAATCATATTTGCAGGTCTGACATTATCTAATGTTCATCCACTCTATCACTTAGCATCATTAATTAATTCCCAACCGCTCACTAGTACTACTCATTTGCCAATTGCTAACCTTTGTTTTCCATATGGGTCCTTCTCATCTAATATTAAACCCTGAGGAGAGAGATTTATATGATCTCAACTATGCACCTTTTCTATGTTATGACAACAGACAGAAAATAAATAGTGCTCAGGAAAACAGTTCATTAGACCCAAAGTCATTTCAACTAAAACCTTCTTCAGAAGAACTGAGAAAACTAGACTCAGCAAAGTCATGCTTTTTGCAATGTCTTTCTATGTAAGACTCTTTCCACACACACCTTCCCTCTCTCTCTTTTGGCATAAGCCATTTCCCTATAGTTTTTCCCCACCCTCTACCAAGCTGCAGAAGCAATTTACTATAGGACAGAATTTTTTAGAAGTTTCTATTAGATCAAATATTCTAGTGTTAGACTCTAGTGTCAAACATTTCCATTAATGTCATATCATTATATGCATCATCAAATAACCACAAAATTGCTTAACTAGATAAAAGTTTTGATGTCACCGAAGTATAGTAGTATATATAGTACAATATAATATTATATAATACTAATATTATGAATGATTTATTAGTACTATGCTAATAATGTAATTTGTATGTAAACCACTCTGAGTTCCCTTTGGGGTGAGAAGGGTGGCATATAAATGTTGTAAATAAATAAATAAATAGTATAGTACTAATAGTATGAGCATTAGTATGTAAAGCTACAGAAATTTAGCAAACTAGTATACAACACTACAGTGCTTTTTGTAGAAAGGTATTCTACAAACCTGTCTCATGAGGTTGAGTAGCTCCATGGTCTTCCGTATGTTCTCTCTCATCTTCTGTGAACAAGTTTAAAAATGTGTTATTCTACAATGCCATAAGCTTTTGTTTATAAAATTATTAATATTCCCAGTGCAGGCAGTTTTTGAGTAACAAACATCCAACTTACAAACAACTCATGGTTAAGAACGGGTGTGAGACAACAGGAAGTGAGAGAAATCTGCTTCTCAGACAGTAAATTCACTGTCATGCGGAAAAGGTGTCTCCACTGAAGTTTTACCACCAAGCCATTTTTTTTCAAAATCCAATTCTCACAGAAAGTAAGGCAAAATCTTCTGAACAAGGGCACAGACAGCAAAACAAACACCACAGGGGTGTTAACATTTTCTTAAGCATGCATGTATGTGTGTGTGTGTGTGTATGGATGGAACTACATTTTAAAAAGTACATGTTTCAACTTACAGACAAATTCAACTTAAGAACAAACCAACAGAATCTATCTTGTTTGTAACTTGGGGACTGCCTGTAATTTAAAGCAAACAAGACAGCCACCACATTTTTTAAAATCATAATGCGTACAAGGGTTTTTTTTGTTGTTTAAAAAAAGTCAAATTCTCAATTTAGCAATAATTTTATGAACTTGGGAGGATGGTTGATCACATCTACACTACAGAATAGAATTATGTATGGTACGATTCAAAAATGATGATTTAATTAAAAGTAACTATGCATTGAAATTATGCAAAAATAATTCTGAAGTAATGTAAGGGCCCTTCCACACAGCTATATAACTCATGATAGCAAGGCAGAAAATTCCACAATATCTCCTTTGAACTGGATTATCTGAGTTCGCACTGCCATATATTCCAGTTCAAAGCAGAAAATATGGGATTTTATTCAACTGTGTGGACGGAGTTAACAACAGTTTCTGGAAATGAAAAAAAATACATTAAAACAGGTCGGCTAGTAAATTTCACTCTTTGATTAGCCTGAATGCTGAGTATGAAATCAAATACAACAGAGGAGCATCCTGGAACCCAAAAGATGAAAATAGGAGACAAATCTAATGATTCTTAGGACTACCAGCTTAAATTGTCTTGCTATATGTTCAGTAGAGGGCTTGGTGTAGGAACCAAGGCCTCAACAAGAAGCTACAAATCTCAGCGATAGGTGTGTGCATATCTGTGAGATCTGAAGTAGAAATATAGTTCGCATAAAGGGATTAAGTGTGCTCATCTTACCCATGAAATGCCAAACACATATTCATTATTTAGATTGGTAAAAATAGTTGTGAAACTATTGAAAAAAACCAAGAGAAAAATATTAAGTGCCCTTCCCTTTTGCCAATGCTTGTCTTCAGATTACACTATGTCCATACTAGTATAGCTCAACCTTAGATTGATTCTTATGCTAAAAAATGAGAAGGGAGGAGAAAGATCAGGTTCACGCATGTCAGCTTTAATATGTCACATTACAACTTTTCTTTCCATGATTAAGTTACATAGCCTTGCCCTCAATTAAGTAAATACCTTCTCTTTTCTTGGCACAGTGAAGGGTTATTGACAAATTGCCGTTATATAAGATGCCAGCCACAGATGAAGGCGAAATATCAGGAGAAATGCTGCTAGAACATGGTTGTACAGCGTGGAAACCAGACATCACCCCTGCCCTTATATATTTTTGTATTTCTCAGATAACTGGTAAGTATATGCTTATCTAAAATATGTACATATTCAACAACTATACAAATAATATGCAAACAATCTAGATTATCTGATTAGTTTTAGAGCTTGCAAAAGAGTAAAGCTATGTTCAGATAACATGATTTCATGAACCTATACACACACATAATCAGTTAAAAACTTATTACATAAACTTACGCTGCAACCTTCTTTATAGGAGTCTCAAAGGTGATACAATATCTGTATACTGAAAGGCAGTCAGATAACTTTGAACTACATCACTCTTAAGAATTCACATTATTTTAAAGTTGCATATAATTATTGACGACTGATAATAGCACTTTATGAAAATTGCCTCAATTAAAGTTTTATATTTATCAACTATTTCACTTGCATCATATTCCCCATCTAGGAGAATTTATGCACACATACCTGATTCAATATGTTCAGTAAAAGAATTTGGATCTTCTGTTTCATCTATGGGGCAGGGAAAATAATGTTAATAAATTAGATAATATGCTTTGGTTAAAGCGACAACCAGATTTTAAAATGGAAATATCCTGGTATATTGTAACAAGGATTTCTATCGAGGCTTAAGGGGTAACAACACCAACGTTATCAAGTCTCACTTGGCACAGAAAACCCAATGCATATTTATTTATTTATTTATTATGTCAGAAGCGAATTGAGGATACAGTTATAATGTATTTAAATACACAAAGTTTAAAATGTGGCATTATACTAGATTTCCAATGCATAAAGAAGAGTGAAAAGGTTCCCTGCTATTCTAACGTAGCCTGAGGAAATCAAGAGCATTAAAAGAAAATACTACATTGATTTCAATGATGTGTGGGCCCTGATAGTGTTTATATGCCATTATTTGGGTATTGTTCTTCTTATAGCAGCTGGACAAAAAAAAAAAAAAAGAAAAAAAAAGCAGCAAAACCTTTCTATGCCTGGAGGTATGCTATGGGAAATTCTTCACCTATTTAACACTGCACATAAGGTTGCTTTTAGAGTACAACCATGGAGGAAATATGACTACTTATTAAACATAAAGTTATTTGAGAACATGTTGTTGTTGTTATTAAGGAATGCATTTTGGCAGTGTACTGCTGCCACAGAGACACAAAGAATTGGAGAAACTAAAAGGAATCAATGCACATACTAAAGGGCTAATGGTAACGTGTATATTCTATATATTCCAAACTGTAATCACATGTCATATGCATAAAAAGAATGATGAGTTCACTATCACTTTGTGGGAGGTAACGAGAAAAAAATTGGATTTTGTACCTCTGGCAAATTGTCTTTGTCTAGTGCAGCCTCACAGCAGTGTCAACCATTGCATTTAGATAATAACATGATTCTTCTGGAAATATTTTGTCAATATTTTCTCTACTAGTGTCAGTTCTCCTCTCTCAAAAATGAGGAGGTGAACAGGATATAAAAATATCAATATGGGAGTTTTTTGGTTTGAATATTTTATATTTCCACTAAACAGAAATGAATAGCTTTTTTTAAAAACTCACGTTCATGTTTTTGTTCCGTTCTGTCAATTGGTTCTCCTAGATATATAATGAGAAACAAGTACTTTAGCTAACAAAAATAACAGTTACAGAAACAAGTTATTTAGGGGAAAATGTGTTAAATTACACATCACAGCAGAGTGCTAATGTGAGAAGTATTTTATATTTTCAATCTATTCAGAAATGCAACTGAGGGCCCTATATACATAACGACATTGCTGTGTGAAAAGTAATTGAAGTTAAGCAGAGTCAGCTTGATTTGCATTAGGACAGGAGACTACCAAGGAATACCAGATGTCATAGGATATATTTCAGAGGAAAACAACAGCAAACCATAAGCCAATAAGTCATCATAAGTCAATACATAATTGGAAGACACATTCTCACACGCAAACAGAAGATGTCTGTGTATAGATTATCATACGTTATACCTCTACCCATGTACTGATTCACTTTATGTACCCATATAAATTATTATTATTTTCCAGTTTTCTAGGATGTAACATGATACATGTAACATGCAGCTGCTACTGAACAAAGCATTTATTCAATCCAGTAATAAGAATAATTCTGTCTTCTAGTTTAAACATTCTATATTTTCACCTTTTATATCTTCATGGTGATATTCAGTGAAAGGCTCTTCATCTGAAAAGAGAACATTATAATCGAATGCACAAGAAAACATTGGTGCAAGGCTTTACAGCTGAAGAAAACAAGTAGGAAAGGTCCCATGCTATAAACATTAATAGAAACAGACTGAGTGTGTTAACAGAAAAGTTTCACACAAAGGTATATACTCTAGCACACAGAAGAAATCCAAATCAGTTTTATTTCAACAAAAAGGGAAACAAACAAGCATCACGGCACCAAAAACTGGACTTAAATAAATAAAGTAGGGTAGGGACATATAATCCCAATGCTGTATGTTTGACTTGCAACACGCTGTCTTTTCTCTGACGGGACAAAGGAACGGCTATGTAAACAATTCCTAGATTATTTTTCATAGTAGATCATATTCAACTTACCAGTATCATGAACCTCAATAATGTCTTCATTTTCTAAATCTAAAAAAGATTGCATAAGTTAAAAGCTATAGTGAACAATAAAGGAAAACAATAAAATCACATTTAGACAGGAGCAACTAAAAATACATGTTTAAAGCATAAATTATTTTTGTTAGTGTACAATCATGCCATGTAACGCTATTTGTCTAAAACTATTATATAGCTGGTTCACAACGTAAATAAAATTAGATGGAATGACATGGGGGTGCTGGGATGAGATGAAAGATGGGGGTGGGGGAGTGAGATAGCAGGAAAGGCAAGGGAGGAGATAGAAGTATGTATTTTTGTGGTTTCCATATCAAAACAAAGGTGGGTTTTAAATAATAAAATGAAACTTATGGATGTTAGAGTGTTCATGGACTCCAGTACCAATATTGAAAAAACAACAGATATTATGGTCTGGGTATTCCTTTAACACTTTCACAGAATTAATGTGAGGTTTTGAATTGGGAAGATTTAACAGGCCTGCATACTTTGTGCAGGACCACCTTAAGCATGTCAATCAGCAAGGAAGTAAGACTGCAATTTTAAAATTACTTACACCACAAACTTCACTAAGTACAAATTGCCTTACTTCATAATAAATCTATGTGTTTATATATCTCAGTATGGCATACCCTTATCCATAATATGACACCCTTATCCATGAAAGATACATTCCTGAACCTCATTTTGGATAACCAGCACCCTACTGAAATTGAGGACTTCCAGCCTAGGAATCCCATGAAGTTATGCTGGAGAGCCTCAAAAAAGCCTAGGGAAGACAATTATTTAGACATATATATATATATGTAATTCTGTATAATTTAGTTAAGCAAACATGCTTTCAACTGCACTGCAAGACAGTGAGGGAAGAGCCACGAACTAGTATTAACTGTGTTAATACCAGAAGCAAAAAGTTAGCTGAATTTTCTCCTTGCAGGTTCAATGTCTTAGGTACACTACAAAAACTGGGATGTTTCTATGGAGGTCTCATCTTTTTATGACACCATTAAATTTAATGAGAAGAGATTAAACTCTCACTTTTTTATTCTAAATGTTATTTTATAAATATGTGGTCACTCAGTAGTTATACCATATATGGCAGTGGTATGTCATGCATAGAGAAATATAACTCAGACAAGTTGCAAGGTGCTATTCCATCACCGGTATTGAAATAAAATTCAAATATCCATTCAGTCAAATTCTATAAACAGAAAACAAATTAAAAAGACATTCTTCCCTTTAGCCTCATGCAACAAATGTCTTCAGCCATCTAACATTAGAATTATCACAGGAAAGCATTTGTGAACAATTTCATGTGTATTTGAGGAGGACAAGAAATATCATTTCAAACATTATTTTCAAATGTTAAGCTAGACTGACACATTGTTCATAATCAACTGTTACAATAAAGCAACAAAACAACATACCACGTTCATCCACATAGTCTTGCTGCTCTGTATCTTTTGAAAATGATTAGTAAATATGCAGAATATTAATGTACATAAGCAATTGGCTGCTATCTACTCTTCCTTAGAATCCAAATATTGTCATCTGTTAACTAGAGTTAGGCAAAGTAAGGACCATGGAAAGCAGAGCCCAACAGATGACATACACAACTATATTAGAATTAAATAGTTCTACTTAGCCTTAATCAATGTCGGAAATCTCAGACCTACGCCGTAGCATTTCCCCTATGTGCTTTATATTATTGTGGTATATATGTTGTCACCTGTTTCCAGCTTTTTTCATTTGATGGTTTCCCACCTTTTATACTGTTCTTTCCCTATTCAAAGTGGTTAAATGCATCTTCTAAGGCTTAATTACTGGCAGAAATGTTTTATGCTAAAACGTGTTGACATATTCGGTCCCACCCTTTTGGCTTTGTCTCACTAATAGAATTTGCTCCTGAGAGCACACATTTTGAAGTTATAGTTGATGCCAACTGGCAAAAGTAAAGGCAGCTATGAGAAACGAGTGGGTTGGAGGGAGTGAGGTGGCCGGTTCAAAGTAAAGTTGTGAGCCAGCATGGTGTAATAGTTTGAGCACTGGACTATGATTCTGGAGACCAGGGTTTGAATCCCCACTAAGCCATGGAAACTCACTGGGTGATCTTGGGTAAGTCACACTCTTCAGAAGAAGGCAAGGGCAAAACTCTCTGAAAAAATCTGGTCACTAAAAGTCAAAAATTCTTTAAAGGTGTACAACAACAACAACAAAAAAGCCGAAGTTATTATTGCTTTATGAACACTGTACCACCTAGGCTAAGGTGGTGCCCTTCCGGCTCTCAAATTTAATTGAAGGTGATAGTAACTAATTACGTCTGCCAACACATGCAGAGATTCCTTCTGGCTGTTAGCACTGTGAACACTTAATACATGCTTTAAAGTCATTAAAACATTAACAGATTAAAAAATACTTAGGAACTCAGAAGTTACATTCTCTAAACTATATGAAATGCTAAAAATGTTTAATAGAAGTGCCTTGATAACACAGCATTTTCTCTTTCTCACACACATATTTATTTTCAAGTTCTATCCAGGGCCTAACAGGTCCTTTTTGCCCACTTCCCAGAAGAGATCTGCTCTAAGACACCAAGATCAGAATGGAAGAGGAGCTTACATTTAGTATCTGTGTGAAACAAGTACTTATGCATCCCTTCAACCTAAGCCCAAACATAAATTTGTGAAACATTCATGGAACATTTTCTTAACTAGTACATGATGCAACATTTAATATAAGAGGTATTTTAAAGACATAAAATACATTAAGATTTCTATACAATACCTGTAGCATGATCCAAAGCATCTTCTAGATTTAATTCTGTGTCATCTATGCAAAAATAGAGAGAGAAATCACTGTATTACTCTGTCAAAATCACGATTCCTTCCACCTTTGACAGGATTCAGTAGACCCCTTCAATCATTCAATATAAGATATATAATAAAAATATTAAAAATATTAACATATACGCAGAATTTTTATACAATACCTGTGTTGTGCTCCAGAGCATCTTCTAGATTGAATTCTGTGTCATCTACAAATAAATATAGAAAAATCACTGTATTACTCTGTCAAAATCATGTTGCAGGCAATTAACTGATTGCATGGAAGAGAGGGGGAGGATCAAAACTGCACCAGCTGTCCCTTTGAGTACTTTCAGCATCTATACAATGGGTGTCACACTTGCATTTCAATTGAACTTACAATACTAAGCCCCAAGCCATGCCAATAGTATATTGTCTCTGCGATTGTGTTTATTGTAATGTTATTTTGTTTCTGTATTAATATATTTTTTAATGTAATTTTGATGCTGTTGTTTGTTGCTTATGTTTTGGTTTTATTTTTGCTGTAATATGTTGTTCAGGCTTGGCCCCATGTAAGCTGCTCCAAGTCATCGTTGGGCTCCCCTACTCCTCCTCCACCTCCTCCTCCTTGGCTCATGGCGGCCTCCCGGGCAGGTTCCCCATCCTTCCTCCCTTCCTGGCTGCCTTCCTTGTCTCGCGGGAGAAGAGGCACTTCCCGTGAGGCCTCGCCGAGAAGAAGGAGAGTGGCCTGAGCAGAGATGCTTCTCGCGAGGCCTGACTAGGAAAAGAAACCACCATTGCTCAGGCCGCTCTCCTTCTTCCTGGCCAGGCCCGGTGAGAATCGCCTCTTCTCCCATGAGACAACGTTGTCTCATGGGAGAAGAGGCACTTCTCACGAGGCTTGGCCGGGCTGGGAGGCAGAGGTGCGATGCCAGCAAAGTGGGGCCAGGAGGAAGGAGAGAGGCCTGAGCAGCGCGGGAGGCCCTTCCAGAGGTGGTGCAGGAAGCAGCCCAGAGGCCCAGGAGCAACCGCACATCAGGCTTAGAGGACAGGAAAAAGAAACCACCTGGCTGGAATGCGGAGTCATCTTAAAAGGTGAGTATATCCCTAACTCTCTATTTTGTGTGTAAAAGTTGGGGGGGGGGGGTCATCTTATAGCCCCAGTCGTCTAGTACGGTATATCAAAAAGTTTGATATTCTTGAGTGAAACCAATAGAAGTGACCAACTCTGAATATGAAACCAAAATCCCAAAAGGTAAAAACAAGAAACTGTAATGCAGGAGTTTCAACACTTAAAGCAAAACTAGATCCAAAGGCTTGACGACTTGTACATAACTATAATCCACTGGCTTGAACCAAGAATTATAATCCAGTCAAGAGGCACTGATCTTAAACAGGAAAGGAAGATACATTATCAAACACCAGAACTCCTAACTCAGAGCTTCCAAGACAGGCGACTTGACCTATGAAAATCCAACATTGATCTCCCAGTGATCATTATCTCAAAATGCTTAACAATTCTAATTCTTACTCATGACATCACTCTTTCTCACACTTGGGTTCCCTTTGCTTATGTTTCTGCCTCTGGGAACAATGAATTTGTCTCTGCTTCACACTATCTCTTTGTAACTGTAATCATTGAGTTATAGGCAGCACTCCTGTCTCCTCCACATTCCTTTCAGAGTGAATCCCTGGCAGATTATCATGAGAACCACTTTCTGTTTCCCTAACAACAGATCTAACCAAAACATTCCCATCAGCAGAACACTTTCATTTTCCCCCATAAAAGTAACAGGCTCAGAAGTAAAAACCTCAGACTCCACCAAAAAGTCCCCCTCCTCATCCTCAAGAGACCTTACAGGTTTCAACTGACTCATTCATTATAAGAGCCATTATAAGGATATAAAATATATGTCAATTTTTATACAATACCTGTGTTGTGCTCCAGAGCATCTTCTAGATTTAGTTCTGTGTCATCTACAAATATATATAGAAAAATCATTGTCTTACTCTGCCAAAATCATGATGCAGGCAAAATAATTGATTGCATGAGAGAGATGGAGGAATCAAAACTGCACCAGCCTTCCCCTTGAGTACTTTTAGTGTTTATGCACTGGATGTCACACTTGCATTCAGTAGACCCCTTCACTATAGGGTTAACAAGTCATAGAAGGCACACAGCACAGTCCATGCAAATATACAAATGTCTTCCAGATTTGAGAAATCTGTTTTCTTACTCTGTGTGGAATACATGGTACCCAACACATTGCACACTATCAAATTTCAAAAGACAGTTACAACTGTGAAATTAGCATTTTCAGCTGTATTCCTTATATAAGGAGATCTGAGGCAACATGCATGTTTTTTGGACATTAATGCCTAACAACAGTAGGATGTAGTGAACAGATTGCTGAACTGAAAAGATCTGCATCAAGCTTCCTGCTCCACTACAGCCTAAGGCTCATTACAGTCATTTAGCCAAATCTCTTTCATAGAGCTGTTAGGATTTTTAAAAGGATGTCCATACATGCTATTTTGAGAAAAAAACTCTAAACATAATTGTATATACGGATACACAGAAAATTTATAGACACCATATAATTATACTTATATTGGTATAGGGATAATTTTAAACTACAAGGTGCTAAATTTAAGCTATTTCGTTTATTAGGCAGGATGATGATAGATTCAGGCCCATTTCTCTCAGTAAATTAAAGTAGTAATTTAAAAAAATATTCCAGAGCAACATAGAACTTAGTAACAGAGAACAGCCTTTGCGCATCACACAGCACTTAAGCAAGCCACATGTTTAGACCATCTGACACTCAAAAACCATTTCCTCTTTGCATTAGCTCTAATTAAAACCCATTCTTAACAGATTTTAAAGCCATATGCAGCAACCCCTTTCAAAGACTAATCGCATCCTTTCCATTTGCTTCATATTATAGCAATTAGGCTGCCTGTTACAAGCCGTCACTAAAATAATCTCAACTTGTTAGCCCAAGGGAGCTATCACTGCCATATTATAGAAAGCACTACTACTCACTGTTCTGTGAAGGCTTGTCAGGTAAGCCAGTTTAACGCAATATACTGTATTAACCTAACAAAAAGGTATTCTTTCTAAAATATATTATTCAAAATCACAATATACTACAAGATATTATGGTCTCTAAGTCACAATTTTAGTGCTTCCCTTTATATACATTCCAGTCTAGCTGTGAATTCTTAAGTCATATCAGGGACAAGCTAACTATTGCTATTATTTCTGAATATACAGTGTTCCCTCACTTATCACGGGGGTTCCATTCTAGGACCCCCAGCGATAAGTGAAAATCCGCAAAGTAGGGACACCCCCCACTTCTCTCTCCCTCAGTTCAAGTGGTGCCAAGGTTTCCTGAGGATGTGCAGAGTGCTTCCTCATTGCGTGCCTAGTTTTCCTTCCAGAAACATGGCCCCACCAGACTCCCTCCCTCCCTTCCTGGAGCTCACTCAGAGCCGGCGGACATGGTGGCCTTGATGGAGCGCTTGCTGCAGCACTTGAGAAGAAGGACAAGGAGGAAGCAGTAGCAGAGAAGAGGTCGAACCGGAGGCAGGAGGCGGTGCCGGAGAGGCTCGCAAGGAGGAGCCCAGAGCCAGGGCAGAGGGAGGGAGAATGGCTGGTCAGGCTTGAGAAAGAGAAGGATGGGGAGGAAGCAGTAGCAACGAAGAGTCCAAGCCGGGCCCGTGAGGAGGAGCCCGGCGCTGGGGAGGAGGGAGGGAGGGAGAGCAGCTGGTTGGGCTTGAGAAGGAGAAGGATGAGGAGGAAGCAGCAGCAGCAGCGAAGAGGCCGAGCTGGGCCTGCGAAGAGGAGCCCGCCGCTGGGGCGGAGGGAGAGCAGCTGGTTGGGCCTGAGAAGGAGGAGAATGAGGAGGAAGCAGCAGCAGCTAAGAGGCCGAGCTGGTCCTGCGAGAAGGAGCCCAGTGCCGGGGCAGAGCGAGGGAGGGTGAGAGAGCAGCCATGGCGAACAAAGTGGACAGAGCAGAGTCAGAGTGCTGCCAGTAAAAGGAATGGAGAGGGTCAGTAAAATGTATGGAGACAGGTCTCAACTTAAAATGAAAGGATACAGATCTCAATGGAGACAGTTAAAGGAATGGAGACAGTAAAAGGAATGGACATAGGCTGAAGAGAGGGAGGACTGAGGAAAAGCTCGCGAAACAGCAAGTCCGCAGTAAGCGATCTGTGGAACAGCAAGGGATAACTGTATGCATGTGTTTTGCTTTCAGTCACTCAAATCATTGCCTTTTACCACCTCAAGTAGACTCCTAATCAAGAGTCATGCTGAGAAGACTAAAAGCTAAGTATTACAATGAATTGCTATGTAGTGATTAACATCTATAATTCCAGCAGCAATGCTATCCTCAGTACAATCAGAAATTTAAAACAATGAAAAAAGAAAAGAAACATAGTAAACTCCAACAATAAAATGGTGATAACATAAACTCACTACTAGGAGTATAACAGAGCAAGCTACTGGACCCTTGATAATATACGCTGTACATTATTGAGAAGCCACACAATATTCAAGTATGATATAGCACAATTATGGTACAATTATAAAGTTTTAATAAATATAGGAGGAGAAAAGTGTACTGTAATAAGTATGCACAGAATTGTAGCATACAATTTAGCTTTAAAGATCTAGACGGTTCAGATTCAGGCTATTCGGTCAACTACATCCCTTTATACAAACCTGTCCAGGCCCTGAGACCTCCATCTCAATCTCGGACGGTGGGAACAAGAGGAGAGGGCCTTTTGGTGGCTGCCCCTCCCTGCCAAGTCTAAACATAAAGCACTAAAGACTTGCCTGAAATTTGGGGGGAGGGCACAAATTCCGGTGGTGTTATCCAAAACCACCACAATATCATAATGCTGTCACTACTAGTTATTGACACTTAGAAAAGTAATTTCAAGTGTGTCAAATGGAAAGAGTTCCATAAAAACGGAAAAAACTAGCAAAGGATGGTATCACAAGGGACTGAGGATACCAGGAGAATTAGATTCACTGCCAAAATCTAAGGTGATAAAGTTTTGATATATACTGTACAATTACTTGAAAGACCAATTATACTAGCGTAACCTACAGAGGAAAAAAAAGACAATTATTCTTCGATGAATCTACTCTGTTTACCATTAAAACAGTACTCTTGCATTCCTAATTATTTTAAACATATATGAACAGGTACCAACTTTATGTTCACATGCACTATTTTCATATAAATGATTAATGATCAGGCAAACCTGGACTTTCTGGTTGATACGTATCTTCTTCCACATGTGCATGATATTCATAGGTAGCTGCAATTTAGGAATTTCACATTACATACCAAGAGGCCATTAATACCAATGTCAGAGTAGAAAGAATTGTATATTTACAACTAACAGGAACATAAATCCTTGCTTATTCTGTCCTCATATTCAAGACTTGATCATTACTTCCATTTTCTCCCCACTGCAGAATAAAACTATTTTGCACAGGGTTCTTCCTATCATAGAACATTATGTGCTTGAACACTTTTACTAAACAGGACACATGCATTTTTGTGTGCAAAAAATCAATCAGTCTTCCTACATAGAAAAATCCCCGGGAATGCTTTGGAACCTTGAAGAGCGCCATTAAAAATTTTTACTTTATTATTATTATTATTATTATTATTATTATTATTATTATTATTATTATTCCCAATGGGGTTTCCCAACTGTTAGGGAATACATTGTTCAAATAACAAATGAATCATTATTTCTGTTGGGTGTGTGTGTGTGTGTGTGTGTGTGTGTGTGTGTGTGTGTGTGTGGTAAAATAAGCAAGCAGATGAAAAAGGAAATGGCTTAGTTTGGTCAGTGATGGACATGAATACTGTCAGATCATATTAGCATATCGTATTAGCAACACAACCAAACGAATATAATACCAAACTAACACAACTCTTTATAGAACATATTTAGTGAGCAGTGAAGGTAGATTGGTGGGAAGGAAAGAGAACTTCAGCTTCTACCAGCCATATTACGCACATGTAGATGTAATCCAATTCACATATTGGAACAAACTATTTTTTTCTGACCATAGTCATTAACAAGTTCCAACTGACATACCTTCTTTACATTTCAGATTCTAGTATGGGAGCCCTTCTTAACCTTTTTAGACATTTTTTTCTTTTTCTCCTTGTGGGTATTTCTGTCTACTTATATATAACTAGCTGTGCCCTGCCACGCGTTGCTGTGGCCTATAGTAAAACTTATCAAAGTTGAGGTAGATATCTGGACTATTATGAAAGAGAGGTACCTACCTATTCCTTCCCCCTTTTCCTCCCCCTTTCTCTCCTTTCTTCCTTCTCTACCTCTTTCTTTCTTTCCTTCTTTCACTACTTGGTTTCATCCTTCTCTCTTTCCTTCATTCCCTCCCCCTTTCTTCCTTTGCCTTTCTTCCCTCCCTGTTTGCTTCCTTCTTTCACTTTTTATTTCCTTTTATTTCACCACCATCATAACAATAACAATAATGCAATGCATTGCCTCTGGGACCTGACACCTCTCCCATTCCCCCAGGGTCTAATAGGAATAATAGCATAATAATAATAGAAATAACAACCTTTACCCGCCACGTGTTGCTGTGGCCAACCTTCCCTCTTTCTCTCCTTCTTTCCCTCCTTCCTTCCTTCCTCCCTCCCTCCTTCCTCTTTCCTTCCTTCCCCCTTTTTCTTTCTCTTCTGGTCTCTTTTCTTCTCTCTTTCCTTCTTTCCTTCCCTCCCTCTTTCTCTACATCTTCCCCCTTCCTTCACTCCCTCTTTCCTTCCTTCATTCCCTTTTTTCTTTCCTTCTCTCCTTCCTTCCTTCCCCTTTCTTTCTCTTCTGGTCTCTTTTCTTCCTTCTCTCTTTCCTTCTTTCCTTCCCTCCCTCTTTCTCTACATCTTCCCCCTTCCTTCACTCCCTCTTTCCTTCCTTCATTCCCTTTTTTCTTTCCTTCTCTCCTTCCTTCCTTCCTTTTCTTCTCTTCTCTCTTTCTCCTCTCTCTTCCTCTTCCTTCCCTCTTCCTTCCTTCCCTTTTTTTTTCTTCTATCCTTCCTTCTTCCTTTCTTTCCCTCCCTCTGTCTTCTTTCTTCCTTCTCTACTCTTTCCTTCCTTCCCTTTTTCTTTCTCTTCTGCTGTCTCTTTCTTTCTCCTTTCCTTTTCTTTCCTTTTCTTCTTCCTTTTTTCTCTTTCCTTCCTTCCCCCTTTTTCTTTACCTCCCTTTCTCTTTTTCTTTCTTCCTTCTGTCTTTCCTAGATTTTGACAGGGCGGGAAGGGGCGGGGGGGTTTGGAGGTGGGTGTGTGTGTGCGGGCGGGGGAGTGATGGAGCGTGGGGTTGCGTGTGTGTGTGCGGCGGCGGGGGGAGTGATGGAGCGTGGGGGTGCGTGTGTGTGTGCGGCGGCGGGGGGAGTGATGGAGCGTGGGGTTGAGTGTGTGTGTGCGGCGGCGGGGGGAGGTGATGGAGCGTGGGGTTGCGTGTGTGTGTGCGGCGGGGGGAGTGATGAAGCGTGGGGTTGCGTGTGTGTGTGCGGCGGTGGGGGGAGTGGGGTTGCGTGTGTGTGGCGGCGGCGGGGAGAGTGATGGAGCGTGGGGTTGCATGTGTGTGTGCGGCGCGGGGGGAGTGGGAGCCTGGGGGTGCGTGTGTGTGTGCGGCGGGGGGGGAGTGATGGAGCGTGGGGTTGCGTGTGTGTGTGCGGCGGCGGGGGAGTGATGGAGCGTGGGGTTGTGTGTGTGCGTGCGGCAGGGGGTGTGTGTGTGCGGGAAGCGGCGCAGCGGTGCTTGGAGTGGGCATGGCTTCCGCAGAGGGAACGTTGGCCAGAAGGCTGTGTGCGCGCCCAGGGAACTTGCTGCTGGGCGCCAATGTGCATGCTCAGTTGTTTTGCCATATTGTGAGTGTGTTGTTGTATTGTTTTTCATTTTGAGTAGATATGTTTGTACCTTGTGGGTTGTGTTATGGGCATGGGAATTTTGGTTAAGTTTCGTTGGGGGATTTTTGAGTTTTGTTGTTTTGCCGTTTTGTGAGTGTGTTGTTGTGTTGTTTTTCATTTTGAGTAGATATGTTTGTACCTTGTGGGTTGTGTTATGGGCATGGGAATTTTGGTTAAGTTTCGTTGGGGGGTTTGTGAGTTTTGCTGTCCGGTTGAACCAACCTAACAGATTTATATATATAGATGCACAGAATGCAAAGAGGCCATTTTTTACACAGAAATGTCATATCCAAAGGTATTGCTGACATGTTTTAGCTTTTTGCTCCCCTCTGGACTTTATGTAGGTTCAGATCCATTTAAAATCGTTTGCCATAACTACTTCTACATCAGTTTTCCTGGTGTGTTAGTTGTTGCTACAGGAACAGCCAGTGTGTAAACCATATTAGAACTTCATATGTAGGTCATCACTGCTTCATCAGCATTGTTTCACCATGAATTATGCTGAGCAGAATTTTCACTTCAAATAGAAATGAGAATGGAATATCTTGTACAATCTAGTTTATTTTAATTAGTGGCCACTAGTTGAAATTCAATAGTTTATATCAAGGCTGGAGAAACTGTGGCTCTCCAGATATTGTCAACAAGCTCCTTCAGCTCTAGCCAATTATGACCAAGAGTCAGGATTGTAGTCTATATCTAAAGGCACACAAGGTCCCACCCTTCACTTCAATGACACATTCAATTCACCTTTTCTTTATGTGAAATTTACCATTAATTCTATTAAGTTCAAACTGCAGGTATATAGGGTCAGTTCATCATTTAATGATACATCGTTTCACAAAATCTCAAGCTATTAATGACAAACATACGCACCATGAGCATCATCTGTTTCAGGCTCTTCTGGCTGATAGTCACTTGCATGATCTGGAGGGGAAAATGGTGTTACTTTAATGGCATATGTTAACTGAAAATGCAATCAATGTTAAGGCAAATTTCAAAAGAATCTACTACTTTATAGACACAGGGACCTGTCTGGACAGAATCTACAAGCAAGAATTTTAATGACTGGGTGTGAGCCACAAGGCCAGGTGTTTTCTTGAAATAACTCTTCTCTTGAATTCCTCCATGTCTTCATTTTGCTCTAAACTGAAATTAATTAAAATTAACCCAATAATGTTTTTATTTCAATTTGAACATTTTGTTTAAAACTATCCCCTCAAATTTGGTGGTTCAATTTACAAGTATGATTAAAGAAAGATGTCAAGGGGTAGGGGATATGTATTGTTGACTACTCATTCTCTTAAAAGATCGTTCTGTGTTGGTAAATGATGAAGCTACAAAGTGATCTATTCTATTCCGTGCCTAAACAAGAATATGTACCTATAATAGGTCTTTATACAATTCTGTGATACAGTAACTGTGAATAACAGTAACCTATACCAATACAGACACCCAATAACAGGACAATGTGGAGTCAAAACCCAAACAAAATAATTCATACTAAAATTTTCTATGACTAGTTTTTAAAAAGGATTATTTTAACACATTTAAGTATCATTAGATGGGTATCTGCATAATATTACATCTGGGAATATCAGGGAACCTTTCTGAAAGACCAGGACAAACAAATGAGACTACTGAGGTCAACTAAACTGAGGTCTTACCACTTCCAAAATCTGGTTCAGATAATGTAATGCCATCAATTTATATTTGAAATATTTAATACTTGTAATACTTTAGATACCTTCCTGGAAAGATTCGTGTGCTTCCTGTACTTCTCCATCATAATCCTCCTCTAGAGTCGGAGCTTCAGGTATTTCGTTTCTCTCCACATCCTCCTCCAAATTTGTTTCTTCAAGTATATTTTCTTCATCCGCATTACCAGCTTGTTCTTTTACTATTAGAAAATATTTTTAAAAGTAACAAATTGAACATGCTGCAAAGCAGTTTTAGTTGCATCACTCAATTATCCTTAATAAAGAGAGATCATGGGTGTGATTCAACCATATGAAATACATACTTCTCCAGTAATACAACTGGAGAAATGGTTGAGGACGCAGCTGTGTTTTAACCTCGGCAGTTATTCTTCTGCTTTAAAAAAGAGAATGTAATCTTAATAATTTTAATAGAATGCTTAGTAAGATATGCAATTCTTTTCATTACTCAAAATCACTGTTCATTCTCCAAAAACTGAAACAAGTGTCCCTCTGCGGAGGTCAAGATAGGATGAGATACAAATGTCCAAAATAAATAAATAAAAATTCAAAAAAGCAAATTGATAAATTCATACCAAGTTGTGACTCAAGGACTTCACGCAACAAAGATTGGATTTCATCTTCAGGTTCTACTTCATCAGGACTAGTATGTTCTATGTTAAATAAGACAGCAGAGATGGTTTAAATGACTAGACCAAACACCAAAAAGCACACACAAACATATGTGAAAAACTGAGCATTTTTCAATTTCTATTGACAGAACACTGCCCTAAGGAAAAGGCATAAAATAAACCCATACACCAGCTACTTGGCATGTAGTGTTTGTCTACCACTGACCAATATGCAGAAATAAAAATGTGCCTCTAAGATCACTGCAAAGATAGAAAAGTGCAGTAACAATGTCTTTTATGAAACTTTTTGTCTGTCCTATTCATGCAGCTATGAAATGTTATGACTATGATTTATTTACTTTAATCAGAGTATTGCCTCCCAACTGAGGCAATGCATAACAGATAAAGGCATTTTAAAAAACAGAGATTTTAAAATTATAGCATTTAAAAATATTTTAAAGCAATCCTCAAATATCATAGAATCATAAAGTTGGAAGAGACCTCGTGGGCCATCCAGTTCAAACCCCTGCCAAGGAGCAGGAAAATTGCATTCAAAGCACCCCTGACAGGTGGCCATCCAGCCTCTGCTTAAAAACCTCCAAAGAAGCAGCCTCCACCACACTTCAGTGCAGAGAGTTCCACTGCTGAACAGCTCTCACATTATTTAATACCAAGAAAGTATTAAAACAGAACTGATTCAAAGATGATGGTGTATTGGGGCAACAATGTTTTAGCTGTCTGGTATCCTATACGAGGATACTCAAATACGGTGTGTGCTATTGACTCATGTACAAATAGTGTGTGATATGTTGGGAGATAACCTTTTTTAACAGATCAGAAGGCTTCTGTGCTTTTGCTGACTAAAGATTTTTTTCTCACAGCTAGTTTGCTTATCACATGCAAATTTGGTATAAATGCAAATAATTGCATTGAAATGAAGCAGAAAGAAAGTTGAAGGACTGTCATGCATCTAGTGAGCTACTGTATTAAAGACAATTTTTTTTCTTTTTATAATATTCTTTCCCTGAAAGGGAGGTAAAGGAAAAGGTACTGTATTTACTCAAGCCTAATGTGCCATTGAATCTAATGCACACCTCGATTTTCAAAGCCCTGAAATCAAAACAAGTTCTTGCTGCTGAATGTAATGCACAGCAGCATAAAGTGCACTTTTTGTAATTTAGAACACCTAAGCTTCCATAAATGGAAAAGAAAGCCTTGAAGTGCATCTATACTGTAGAATGAATCCACTTTAACTGCTCAATGCTATGGAGTCATGGTCTTGATCCTTCTGTGCCAGAGAATGCTGATGCCTCACCAAACTACAAATTCCAGGATGGCATAGCACTGAGTCATGGCCATTTAATTAGAGATGGCAACCCTCATATAGGAGTTCCAGATGCTCCTGAACAGCTTCCCCATATGCTCTGGCTCAGCATTAAGATGAGTGTATGGCACAAATCTAATGCACACCCTAATTTGGCAAGGTCATTTAGCAAAAAATAAAAAATTAAAAAGGAGATAATTAGATTTGAGTTAATAGGGTATGTGGGGTGGGGGGCAGATAACCAGAAACTGGCTCTATTAGATAAATTATTTATATTTTTGACTGATTGTTGTTTGAGTAACTTAGAATACTATGTAGACAATCCATTCAATCCAGAACAGATTCCAACAGCCTTTTCACACTTACCAAATCTAACATCTAAACTAACTGGATTTATGACTAACTGTCATGCAATGCATATTTTTTAGGCCCCTTCCACACAGCCATATAACCCAGAATATCAAGGCAGACAATCCACAATACCTGCTTTGAACTGAGTTATCTGACTCCACACTGCCATATATTCCAGTTCAATGTGGATTTTATACAGCTGTGTGGAAGGGGCCTAAGAGAAGTACATCAGAAAACAATTATTGTGGAAATATACAAGAAAAATGCCTACAATCATTAAGAGACCAGAGAGTAAAACCATCCTGGCCACTGACCTTCCATGAAAGACAAAAACATTGAATTGCAGACACACAGAGGGCACTCTTCCTCCATGTTATTTCTGCTACCTGCCCAAAAACATGGCCTACAGAGATTTAAAACTTGCTAAACTAGGAGAGAGACACTGGAAAGTAATTAGAACTCAATATATATATTTCATTCAGTTTTGCCTTTTATAAAATCATCATCATAAACGACTTACGGTCTCTAAGGCAACAATTAACACCCACTTAATGTCTTCTGAAACCAGTGAGTTGAGAAAAGGACTAGAATAGAAAAGTCTGTTGCTTTTGCCAAAAATAAAAAAAGCCGATCACATGATAAGATACAAAAATTACTGTAGGAGTATTATCGATGCTTCTGAGTGTGAGGAGGCAGATAAACAGCTTGGAAACATAAAAATGTCCTGAGCTAAGCAGAGTCACTGTATGTGTTAAAGGAAACACTGTCTTCTTTCCATGTGTGTGGTTTGAGAGCTACATGCAAATTTACCATCTTTGTTCACATGAAAAGTCATGAGCATGATGTCAAGATCTTTGGGTTGAAGACTACATTTCCAAGTTCATTTACTCCAATAGCAGACAGTGCTGCCCCTGGACTGTGGAGGCAGGTTTTGCCTCTATTCTAATCCCAGTTGATTGGTGCAGAGTCAGCCTCAGAGTATTGCAAATGATGTCATGATTTATTTTAAATTTGTGTTATTTTGACACAAGCAAACATGTTTAAGAAACAGGGGTTTAAACATCATGGTAATGAAAGCAGTTTTGACTGCAAATGGTTGTTAGTACCTGAGTGCCTAACTGAGCAGATTTCAGTCAGCATAACCTAAGGGTTGCCATTTTGTTTACTTAGAAATAAGCTCTTTGAACACAGGACTGATTTTGAAATAAAGCAGTATATGGTGATGCTGTACATTGGATTTATAGGCAGTCCCCATGTTAGGAACAAGATACATTCTGTAGGTTTGTTCTTAAGTTGAATTTGTATGTAAGTCAGAACACATACATTTAAAGTGCAACTCCAGCGATACACACACACACATATAAACACATGCATGCTTTGGACAGCAGAGGGAAAGGTTAACACCCTTGTGGTGTTTGTTTTGCTGCCAGTGCCCCTGTTCAAAAATTCACCTCACTTTCTATCCCTCTTGATAACTAGATTTTGAAAAAACTGGCTTGTTGTGGAAGCAAGGATTGGTGATAAAGCTTCAGGGGAGACACTTTCCCTCCATAACAACTCTTTTAGGAGTGAATTTATCTTCCAAGGGGTAGATTTCGCTCACTTCCTGTTTTCTCACTCCCATTCTTAACTATGAGTCATTTGTAAGTCAGCTCTTTGGAACTTGGGACTGCCTGCATTGTCAATACATCTAATTCTCTCATTGATTCACTGGTATAACAGGGCAACAGTTGTCCAAACTGGCTGTCTTCAATGAACGCTGTTCTAGTCTCCTATTCTGCATATTAAGTCAGGCGAGAGATCTCTGATTTTGTCTGCAGGTTAAACTTTCAACCTCTACTGGTCAGTGAACTACCTCCCCCCCAACCCCCCCCCCCCATCTTTTCATCCTACCTCACGTTTTCCACCCCATGAACCCCTAATGSCATAAGCCACTAATGACGACCTATGTAGAATCAATTTTGATGTGACATAACATACACTGATTCTACAATGAGGAATTCTTAAATTCTGAAGGAAGGGAAGTACACTATGACAAGAGTTAGACATCTATTGCTTAGGGCAAGGTTGGAATGCTTTAGTTGTTATACGTAGATGTTATGTAGGTTTATACCATTATGAAACAAATGCAAGACTGGAGTGTATTTTTCTGTTATTTTATGCAAATGCTTACCTGCTCTTGTGTATCTCTCCTTTGCAGGTTGGATCACTTCTTCTGTATCTTTCAGAATTGGCTGTTCTTGGACAGATCTTTCTTTAAGTCCTGCATTTTTTAGTTATAAAGGTAACTTTAGCATTTAGGACCATAGAATTTTAACTCTGTTCGTTTTCATTAAGAGAATAGAAATTTAAAGGTCACCAGAAAGGAAGCACTAGAAGGTTGGGAGAAGAAACTTTCAGGCATTTAAGTCCCAAATTATATTTCAAATTCCTAGTATTCCATTGAAATCAATCAATGTGGCGGCTCAGTTGTTGAAAAGGAAATAGCTTTCTGGTATACATGACCAGCCTTTTTTCAATCTGAATATAAGCGATTTTACAAAATCCATTTGTTTTGCAAATGTGAAGACTTAAAATACTACAAATACTACTTCCAAGAAATATACTCAGCCCTCCACATTCACTAGGGTTAGGGGGACTACCAGTACGTTTACCGTAGTGGGAAACCATGAATTAAAAAATGAGGTTTTTGCTACTTATTCATTATTTATTTGTTTACCATATTTATATCCCGCCCTTCTCAACCTCGAAGGAGACTCAAAGCGGCTTTACATATAGGCAAGTATTCAATGCCTTGATACAACATATAATTAAAACTGAGAGACCACCTTTCTTGTAATCTCTAAGTCCTTCAGTATGATTCTATGCTCAGCCCCTGGTAGATATTCCCTACAGAATCACACTGGAAAACCTAGAGATATCTACAGAGGTGTTCTCAAAAGTAATAAAAAAAAGTTTTTTATTCATGGTTTTCCCACTTCGGTGGAGGTATTATGTCCCTAATCCAGTGAATGTGGAGGGCTGGCTGTATTTCTCATGAGTAGCATTTCCTGTTTTGAGTCTCCCACATTTGCAAAATTGCTTAAAATCAGATTGAAACAAGGCTGGGTCATGAACGGAATGCTATTTCCTCTCTAGTTCTCCTATATGACTCTCAATTTCAGGTAAAAGTTGGCCATGGGGGACACATTGGAAACTCTTGAAGGAATGTGTAATCGAATCTGTAAACAATCACATCTGTAAAAATCAAATTCACAAATGTGGAGGGCTGGCTGTATTTCTAAATAAATCCAGTAGATGCTTGTATTATTTTCTGACTTAAATCTTTTTATACTGTGATTTATTTATTTACCATGAATGGATTGGAAACAGGGATCTAGGGGCATCATCTCTATCAACCACATTACCTTCTCCCTTGCTTGAAATTACCTGTTCAATCAGTTTTCCACATCTGTTTGGCCTTCCACTCATTGTAGGAGGCATTACCATTGGTGAAGCAATTGAAACAAATAAGGCCAACTTCTTTTAGCAGAACTAACACAAATATTGTGCAGTACTAGATAGGATACAACTCTGGATTATACTATGAAGGGCAAGAAGAGGAGCCATTTTGAATGTTCCTAGTATGACAATCCTATCAAATTGTACATAAGAATATACAGGGTAGGATATGCTAAAAGTCTTTTCTCTACTTTTTAATCAACTAGAGAAAATGTACATCATCATTATAATTAGGCCAAAGTTCAATTGTTAGCTCCCACCTAGACTAGACATACTGAATTAATGCAAGTAACATATGTATTGATTTATCACTTAGCAGTTATGATTCAAACTAACAAATCATTTAAGCCGATATAGGTCATTCATCTTTTTTTCTATATCTGTTTTTGTTCCATTATACAGCCAAATATTTTACCCATTATACCAAATGTAAAACAAACATTTACTAATCAGTACTACATGGCACTTTTAAAATACATTTTAAAGTATTAAATAAAAATCTGAATATGTTCTTATTTTTATGGGGTGTTGCAATGTTATTTATTTGAAGTTATTTGGCAATTCTAGTATCGATTATGGAGAGGACTAAGGATGTAGAATACACCTCTACTGAAAGCAATACACCCTGCACAAAAGAAAATCCAAAATTCCCTGGCAGGCTGTGCCAAAATGAGTAAAGTATTCATTGATTTACTAGTCGGCAATCCTTTCTACACTTACCTGGAATTTAAACCCCACTTTGCAAAGAGAGGCTCATTTCTGAGTAAACATGAACAAAATTGTACTAGTAACTCTTCCATTTTTCCAGGAAAAAAAACCCAGGTGAAATTAAGCAAGCACTAAGACTTCTTTATATAAGGCTTCTTTATATAAGGCTTCTTCTCACACCAAAAGAAACTTGCAATATGTTCTCAAGTCGCTTCTGTCACGATAATAAAAAATAAGGAATGGGATTGTTTCTTGAACATTTTTAGTGTCCTATTTCATACAGAAATGTACTTCATTTTCTAAATACTAAAATAAAGGTAGCTTAACTTTTCAAAGTAGACCCAATTCATTTTGAACCAGTACTTATATCCACAGAAAATGATTTAAAATATGAATTACAACCTGAATGTCCAAATAATGTGTATATCCAATTTATGTGAATTTAAATTATCTCCAAATTTTTAATTCATGAGCATAAATTTCTGCACAACCATTATTTTGTATGAGGCCAAAATTCAAAATGGCCTCAGAACACAATGAATTTTATTCTGTTTTACAAACATGAACATTGGTCCAGAATCCGAATTCAGGATGTCAAACTCCATACCCATAATGGTACTAAGGACAAATGAATCTGCTTTCCAGTAAGCTCACATATACGTCACAATCCTAGTCAAAGTAGGTAGAACAAGCAGTGGTAAGGTCCTATTCCATGGCAATTTACCTTACAGGATAGAGTAATCTCAAGTCATGTTTTCAATCCTCGACTTTTTTGTAGTCAAAATATGCCAATGATGAATCCCTCAAGATTCTCTACTGTTCTTCCCACTATACTTTCTTTTATACTGGCATGTAAACCATGTCAACTTAATTCGGATTAGGTATTTCTGAGAGAGAAAAGTTTGAGCCTTTCCCTCAAATGTTCCAAAGTTGAAGAACACCCATCACCTCCACAATCATCAGTCCTTCCTTAATTTCCAAGTTGAATAGTGTGAGATTGTGTCCAAAGAGAGATAAGATTATGTCCAAAGAAGGATAAGAAAAGTAAATGACCAATGAGATGACACTTCTGGACATCAAAAGCCTTTAGGTTTGTACCTAGATGTTTCTCTTCTTTCCATATGTAAACTAGTTTTTACAAAACACTACAGATTTTACAGTCCACAGGCAAAATAATATTTATTTTTATATGGATGAAACTAAAGGATATGGAAAAATACAGATACTGAGAAAACAACCGACATTTGATTTTTTAAAATCATTTTTTAAGAATTTGTTATTTTTATTTCTATGCTGGAAATTATCATTAATCACCTACATATGCTTATTACTTGTAGTAAGACATCAGCAGCAAAGCCAGTCAGAGGTAAATAATAATGTATATTCAAACATTGCATCTCACACACTACACCAAAAATCTTTCTTATTGATCCTGTATTCATCTTTGACCTTTTCTTAGTAAAAGCAAATCTAACGGGTCATATATCATTTCAAATATATGTTTTATTTACAACTGTGTCGATACTATGACACTGAGTTGTCCATGTAAAATGAAACAAAAACAGTGCTGTCGTAAAATACAAATAAGCTTATTGTCTTGCATACCCATTCTTCACTGGTTCACCTTCATAGCCATGTCTCCTCTTCTTCCATGTATTTACTTTCTGTTAGTTAACATAACTCCGTTTTATTATACTTTCATGAGCAAAATTATGTGACCTCCGACAGTGGAGAGTCGATAATCAGAATAAAACTGGAGAACTAGTTGACATTCCTTGATTTTGAATTTTCTTTTCAGTTAACTAGATATTGTTATACATCAAATAAAACTCAGATATTTCAGGGTTTTTTTTCTTTATTTGTTTTAGCCTTGACATACTGAGTACCAAAAGATAATACCAATATATAAATGATGGCAATACAGTAAGAATGTATAAGACATGATCAGACACTATGTACAAATTGGAATTCCATAGTAGTCTCTTTTATTGCATGTTTATAAATTCATACAATACCAAGGCAGACTTTGGAATCTTGTTTATTCTAACATGCTCTGAATTGCCTTACTGATAACTATATTTATTCTGTTCTTATAAATATTCATTTCCTTGCAACCAGGTTTAAATGAAGCAGGGTTCAGCTAAGAAACAGTTATCATTTAACTTTTTTTCTCTTCTCCTCTTCCTTTGCGGAATTATCAGATGATTTAGAAAGACTTTTCGTTATCTTTCTTATTTCCTTATCTTTGCCACTAGATGCTGCTTTTATCTCTTTAGCTTTAAGATTTTTGTCTAATCCTGATCTCTCCTTTTCAGCTCTTCTATCTCGTTTAACCTTGTCAGATTCTTTCTTTGATTTATCATCAGCAACCTTTTTATTCTTTCTGTCCAAGTCCTCAGTTTTTTTCTTGGTTTTCTTTTTTTCTTCATCTTTGGTTTCCTTCTTTAATTCTTGCTTTTCTTTCACTTTCTTCAGTGGCTCTTTGATCTCTTTAACTTTTTCTTATTTCCAATTTAAAGGGAGTAAAGGTTCATTAAAGAAGGTGGATTAAGAAAGTAGATTTTAGTAAACTAAGCACATATTTTCATTCTACTACAGATCACAAATGCATATCTCCACTTCAAAAGAAATTGGCCACACCATATTAGTAGTGGTGAAAGAACTGAATTAAAGGCAAGCACAGCTGATACCCTTTTTAAAAAATTAAGAAAGATCTTTTGGTAACTACTAGAATGATTTTAATACCAATTTGATTTTTTTCTACTGGAAACCTTAAATTAAAATCTTGATAATGTCAGTTATTCATCTTTAATTACTTGGATGAAGGACCTATGAAAAATATTAGAAAACTACCACTTATATAAATGTGAAGGACCTATGAAAAATATTAGAAAACTACCACTTATATAAATGGAGAAAACTGTTGATAATCAACTACAGACCTATCATCCAGACTATATCAACAATGCAAACAAAATATTTGGGTTTTTTATGCTACAACTAGAAATGCTGGTCATTTTCCAAGTAGCCCAGGACTGGAATATATGAAGAAAT